CTGCTATATTTGTTAGTGTTTTTATAACCATTTTTAACTCATCCCCCTTTTATATGTTCATCCAAACCAGTTTTCAGAAACGTGAAGCTAGTTAAACGAATGACACTTAGCTATTAATACTGATAATTCAGCCGTGACGTCAAAATATACTGTTATCGCTTTTGAGGACAAAGAAAATGTAGAGATATAATTTTAACACAACGATCAAAGTAATATGTAAAATTGTTCCGACAATTTACTTTAGTTTTATGGAGTAAATCCGTGTAAATAGGAAAGTGTAAAGTGATATTGAGCGGATCGCTTGTGCTTCGAACGTTGGTAGTGATATTTTGTCATCAGGTCACGCAGGATTGAAGAGGTCCTGTCACTAAAGGTCACCGAGGTCTCTGCCGTTAAATACACATTTACACATCATTAGGAGGTGTGAAAAACACAAGATGGATTCGAAGATGACGAGAAAAGTGTCACATTTCTTTGATTCTAACTTGTCAGAAAAATCGGTACGAGTTCAGGTCTCATCTCACAGCCTTTTGCCCTCCATGGCAAGACCCCCTGGTGGAGATGTGGGAAAAAGCTGATAACGTCTGGAATCCTATCACGTGCGCGTCAAAACATCGTGGTGATTGAAACGATCTCCTAGTTGGAATAAATACGTTTCATCTAACTTGGTGAATCGTTTCACGCTGTGAATGTGAAGTTATCTGATGCTCTGTTGAAACGTTGCTGAAAAACGTGTTATCATTCAATTTTTATAATGGGCTATAACCAATATCACGTGCTTTATGTTGTCGCATTTCGTGGGATCAGAAGTTGATCGCTGCTCTAACTAACATTAACATTACAAACCGAAAATACACAGATGATAAGAGACACGGACATTTTTAGACACAAAAAAACTTTGTAATTTTGAAATGTGAAAGAATTATGTTCCTTTATATAGATTGTTTGTTTGTTTGTTATGAATTTCGCGCAAAGCTACACGAGGACTATCTGCGCTAGCCGTCTCTAATTTTGTAGTGTAAGACTAGAGGGAAGGCAGCTAGTCCTCACCACCCACCGCCAACTCTTGGGCTACTCTTTTACCAACGAACAGTGGGATTGACCGCCACATTATAACACCGCCACGGCTGAAAGGGCGAGCATGTTTGGTGTGACGGGGATTCGAACCCGCAGATTGCGAGTCGAGCGCCCTAACCACCTGGCCATGCTTGGCTTTCTTTATATAGAGACTAGAGATCGTCAAAGTTGACGTGTTTTTATTTTTATTTTTACATGGTTCAAATACAGTTTAAATATCAAGATCGTCAACCTTTACTCATTTTCCCTTTGTGTTTCTTACATAATTCAAGATGTCGTTCAAAATTAGTTTTCCTAGATTTCCACTGGTGGATCTTCCTGATTTGATTAAAACACTTTTAAGGACGAAATCTGACATTAAATGTCACGCAAGGTTGCCATGAGATGTGTTTAATGTTTTTCAAATTGAACATTCGTCGCATTACATTTCCGGGGAAGTAAAACTTCTTTTACATACAGTTCAGTCAAAGTGCGGAAATAGGCCATGTTTCGTTATGAACACGTTTTATTGCTTTTAAAATCGTAATGACTCGTTCGTTCTTCGACCAATCTTTATGGCTTAACTCTCTTCCCGCGTTACTTTAACTCCCAAATTCGGAGTAGTTTTGAGTGAAAAGTCGAATCTTTGGAGGGGAAAAAAAATCCTGGAATTTAGAAACAAAATGCACAAAAGTCCTTTTAAAGAATATGTATATATCGGTGTGAGTATTCGTGATTTGTGAACTTATACTAGAAAACGAGAAAGTGACTGCAGCGAGTTACCCACGTGTTTCGAAGTGACCTCTGACCTCCACATAGCGAGATTTTCAACTCCCGTCCTCTCTATACGTCATCTTTCGAAAAGGGATGATAGACGAAAACGGCGTTGACCAAAATTTATCTAGAAAAACTAGTGTTAAACCAAAAGTAGGGTTATTAAAAACACGAATTTAACATAACCTTTCTATCTCTATGTGATGGCGCTCTAAAGAGGAATTGAATATACAGAAGGGAGATGTGGTGGCGCTCTAAAGAGGAACTGAATATACACAAGGGGAACAATCGTAACTTTTAACATACCCTTCTGTATATTTAGTTCCTCTTTAGAGCGCCACCACACCCCTTCTGTATATTCAGTTCCTCTTGAGAGCGCCACTACATACCCTTCTGTATATTAAATTCCTCTTTAGAGCGCCACCACATTCCCCTTTCTCAAGATCCAGCGCATGATAAACTATCAAACTATATATATATATATATATCTATAGAGTTACATGGAAGTGGCTGCAGACTGTAGAGTAAGGAAATGAACTGACGACGACAAAACCCCACAATCAACTCGTCGGTCACATTTGGTCAACCAAACAGAGAAAGAAACAAGGAAATTGGTGACTTGCGTGATTGTGGGAGGGAATGGAGAGGAAGTGGACAAAGAATTCATATATAGGTA